ACAATACAAAACGGCTGCCTGACAACACATAATATGGAGTTTTCTCTCATCAGAGGGCAAGCAACTTTGTGCAAAATATATTAAATATGGTAAAGAGTAGGGAAAGCACAGGTGTATTAATGGGGGCTGCATTCCACTTCTGCAGCCATGCATGCTTCTGTAAAGATGCTTGTAAGCAAAAGTCCTTAACATTCAGCCTTTTAATAAACAGCTAGGCAAGGCAAGGCAGCTTTTTTTATATAGCGCATTTCACACACAAAGGCCATTCAATGTGCCTTCCATTCTCTTTGAAGTTATGAAATGGGCTTGTGCTACTAAAAGTTTTAGGGAGGTAGTATTTTCTAAATAATTGTCAAAGTACACTTAATTATTCATTTTATAAAGAGACCTTCGGTTATGGCTCTCATTCATCCACAGTTAGTAGTTGTAGTTAAGCTTCTACAGCTTGAGTGGGCTCCATTTGTCCTTACTGGAGTTTCTTTACCAAAATAAAATGTGAAGAATGGCCCACATCTAGCTGTGTAAGGTCACTGCCCTTTAGTGGTGCACCAGAGTATGAACAAGAAAGGATACAGGAAAAATAAGCTGTGAAAACTTTTAAGGAGCCCTAAAGCACATTCTTCATTAATCCTAAATTGGCAAATATTTGGAACCATTGTCAGCTAGACAGGCAACCAATAAACCAATGGTCAGTATAAATGAGGTCCTGTTACAGAGCTAGAAACCTATTAACGGATAACCATGAATGCTTCACCACACCTATCAAGCATCTTTCTTTTTTGTTTTGTAAAATGCTTAAAGACAAGTCGTTACTCAATAAAAGACGTGATAGCCTGCAAGGGGTTTGCCAAAAGGCACTTAGATGTTTCTCAGAACACGAGGAACAAAAACCCGACTGGATTAATGAAACAATTTGGCCAAAATCCTCTGCATGACTTATAGGAGAAGCAGAGTGCCACCTCATTACTATCATCTTTAATGTTTGCAGCATTGTTCTGTTTTCCTGCAGCAGAGATAAGAAGATCTGCTGAACAAAGGAAAGAGGTGAACAGTAAAATAAACAAAACATTCCCAAGTTTAACAGTTTACCTGGGGCTAAGAGGTTCAAAGAAAGGTGTTCATCTCAAGCGTACTGTCCGAAAAGACAGGAATGAATTTAGAAAATTGTAGAAGTTCTGAAATGATCAAACCAAATTATATACCTGAAATCTAACAAATTTTTCCAACTTTCTCACGATTGAATAAATCAGCAACAAAAAATAAAACAAAAGTTCAAAGAACGACATGAAGGATGCTTTCCAAGTTGATTTGAGTCTTACCAAAAGTGTTAAACCATAGGAAGTGACGCCACCATCAGCGTCAGCCTGAGGAAGTCTGCAGCCGCAGACGAAACGTAGCGGGAAAACAGGTAACAAAACTGTTTTGTGTTTTAAAAAAGAACTACAGCATGGAATTAGAAATACGACAGAGCAAGAACACACCTAAGATGTAGCTAAAGTTACTCAGAGCCACAGTAGAAGGTCCAGCCTGAGTTAAGCTGTGGTAACTGGAGAGGAACTGAGAAACAGCATTAAACCTTTTGCTGTTTGCTTAGTTTAATTCAAATTGAATATATAAGCCATCAATTATATAATAATTGTATGTACTGTATATTTAACAGTCATGTTTGAGATAAAAGGCAGAATAGATAAAAAAAAACATTTTAACTTTATCTGGTTACATTCAAGCTTCACGTCCCACCGTGAGCAGTCTCCTGTCCCACATTTGGTGAGTTGGGATCTGGTTATCCTACTTAAGAATGATTACAGTAATTTGGAATATTTTCAGATGATTTTATGTTTGCTGTTTGGTGAATTAGTTTCATAATAATAGTTAATTATTATATGATGATCCCTAATCATTATCTGATTAGTTATTTCAATTTATTATATTTAGCTCTCTTGAACAGTAGGACTGGTAGAAAATTGCTTGCATTTTGCAAAAACATGACATAGATTTTTTTTTAATATTTTCAATAAAATAAAAGTATATAAATGTCTGAGGTTACTACAAAACCCACTGTAGAATAGATGCACATCTGCAGCACGTGAGGACCTTGTTTGGGGGGAGTTATTTTAGTTGTCACTTTATTTCACAGCCTCGGAGTTCATGGCTATTTTGTTCTTCTATGTGCGCGGTTTGCATTTTTGCACCACGTGGCTTTACATATTATTGCTACAGCCTCGCTGTCCCGGATGTGACGTAACCCAACATGAAATGGAAAACGAAGCGATGCAGTATTTAAAAACAATATATAAGTGTTTAACAGTTGATTAGTTCTTTGCGAATGTCTTAATTTTATTTTTACAAGGTCTTAAAAAGTCTTGAAATTTTTAATTTTGAGATTCCTGCATATACCCTGCTATTTCACTTAAATAGTTTAAAATGTTTTGTCTGACTTTTGGAGTTTTTCCATAAAGTTGATGAAAGTGATGTCATCATGTGACAGCACGGAGGATGGTGCGCCGAGAGAAAAATGGCAGCTCACGCACCAGCTTACTTGGTGTCTAAAAACAACACAACTTCTGCAGTTTTGGAGTATTTCAGGTTCAAAATAAACTTAAAAAGAGAGTAGGTAAACACTGATGAGGTAATTTGTGCAAACAAAAGATGACAGCGAAAGATGCACGTTCTGTCGGAAACACGGAGGAGCGAACCGTATCTGAAAAAGCACCTTTCTGTCTGGAGCTTGTTATTAAAAGGCAACAATGCACTTTTCTGGTGAAAAATAAGTTACCAGCCTTCCCCAGATGTCGCAACTAGCACCAAAGTACCCGTATGTCTGTGTTTTAGTTATAGTGTTTGTTATGTAGTTTCTGAAGATCCAAACAAACCACTTGGTAATGCCACTTCAGGCTTATGTCATCATCTTTAAATTAGTTCCGGGAATACAGTGTACCTTAGCGACAGTGGAGAGGAAAACTCCCTTTTAACAGGAACAAACCTCCAGAGGATGCTGGCTCAGTATAAGCAGCCATCCACCACGACTCACTGGGGATGGAGAAGACAGAGCAGACACACACACACACACACACACACACCAGCCCACACACACGCACACACAAAGCATATATACCAAGTAATGTTTCTATGGTTACATTGTGATGTCTTAGTAAATATTCTATTTGGTTAAAGATAAACTTTATTGTATTTATCCTAGTGGATCTATAATTAAACGGATAAACTAGTATTAGCACATCCACTGTCAAAGAAAGTAAAATGTTATCAGGAGAGGGAGAATGTTTTAGTGGTTAGCAGCAGTGTGTTAGACGATGGCCCCCACCATGCGGCCACCACAGCTCAGCAGAACATCGTTGTAGCTTCTTCTGGGGAGAAAAACACTTACAGAGAAAATAAAGTTAACAGCTGAAATAGCAGGAAATAATACAGTTAAAAGAGCAGATTGTAGAAGAAAGTAGTAGAGTGTGGATAGTGGTCAGTGTATCCTCCAGCAGTCTAAGCCTATGGCAGCATAACTACAGAGATAACTCAGGATAATCTATCCTACTTAGATGGAGGTATGTTGGAGGCACACGTTGTGGATACATGCAGCCATCTTTATCCTTGCTGTTTATCGTGTAATCTGACAAAATCACACCTGATCTTGCAATTCTCTGGTGATTTTGTGACCTCACAGGACCAGCTGCGTGAAGCGCATTCGCCGCTGATTTGCGTCTGAAAGGCTCCGTGAAGGTACACACCACTTAGCTCATGAGGAAAATGCGTCTATTACTGCTTACCCATTGGGTGGAAAGCCCGGGTAAGATTGGGTGTTGCACATCACCCCAGGACCACAGATGTTCAGCTATTCATACACATGAAAGAGAAGAGACAGCATCTATCTGTCACAGTAAAAATGTGTCTATAGATCATCTTTGTTAAGAGCTTGTTTTGGGAATGTCACATGTTCTTGAATCATTATTTGAATATTTCTCATTAGCCATTGAAGAACATGACAGTAAAATATAACCAAAGAGTGGAAGGAAGAAAATAAAAATCACCACCTTCAGAGTCTGTCCTGATATACTGACAACTTCTTAAAATTCAGCAACGCTGATGCATTTTCCTTTTTTGCCAGTAAGTATTGAGGTTTTATACAAAGTCGGGGAACAATATCTCCAAAACAAATGACAAAAACTTTTGAAGGGTTTGTTTATTCTTCAGACATTATTCTTCCTATTTTTCCCAAAGTTTTTGTTATATCTACTTTTTTTCTCCCTTAGCAGTTTTTTGTGCTGTCCTCACTCTAGATTAAAGCCCTGGCTCACATTATTCACCCGCACACACACTCAGTCATCACATATGCAGATTGAAACGCACACACACACACACACACACACACACACACTGTACAGTATTCAGAAGTTGAGTGAGTGTCTGAGTGGCTGAATAGAAGCGTGAAGTGGTGGAATATTGATCGAAGAATAGCGAGTATAGATCTTGTGGCAGCAGAATGTCATTTCCATCTTTTTTTTCAAAGCCTACCGTTTTGCCACCTCCAAACTCATATGGAGAGAATGGGAAACAGGGAGAGATAAAGAGGAAGGGGAAAGGAGTGAATGAGCAGGAAACTTTGGTCCCTGGCAGTTGATGGATGGGCTGCAAACAGATTGTCTTCTTCTGGACTCTTTGATAACACAACATCCTCCCTTTTCCTCTGTCTCTTACCTCCTGCTGTCTATTCTCTGCCTCCAACATACAGTTTATATTTATTTTCCTGATTCTCAATAAAAAAAGCTCCCATATCCAGTTTTCCCTCCAAACTGTCAGATGTCTTTAGGCGTCTGATTTGTGAAAGCTTGTGTCTTCTGTTGCTTCCTTTGTTGTGTGTGTTTTTTGCCAAATGTGTCTTTTCAAAGCACCCTGAGGAAATACTACAAATCTAAATTATATATCTCCCTTTTTGGTTCCATGCTCTTCTCTCTAATGTATTTCCCTTATTCTATCTGGCTGACGGACAGTTGGCGAGAAAACCCGAGGGTCAACAGGTAAAGTACCCATTTACATTTTCATTATTTTCCCAGCTATTTTACTCTGAATCCTTTTCTTTCAGTCTATCTAAAGCGAAGCAAAAATCCGTATGAACCTGCGATACCGACAGAAGGTTAGAACTAAGAGCCGATGAGCTAAATGCTTTATGGAAGGTCACACTCCACTTATCCTAAAAGAACTGTCAAACCATTGTGTGTGTTGCCATTTTTGTCGTCATCTGCTATCATGACAACGACATTTGGTAGTTCAAATGCAAGAAAAGAGGGCATTATTAAAATGAAATAACTAAACCAAATCACTGATGTCTGAAGCCAAAGCAAATGCTCTTTTTTAGGTTTAATATGGAACCATGTAATAAAAACAATATTAAAAAAATATGTACTTTCACGGGCTGTTTAGAGGTGTGCAGAATGAAGGTACAGTATTTCCTTTAGAAGCTATATTTTAATTAAAAAATTATCAAATATTTATGTTGATGGACATCTATCAGACAATAGAGGACACCATTGCAGGTTACCAAACAGTCCACTTGGCACAGCGAGGCTGGCTCTGTGGAAAATGGCTGACTCGGCAAGTCAAGCAGCTGCTTCTGATTCCAGAAGATGTTATCCTTCTAAGAAGAGGAGTCACCGTAAAAGATCTAAATCTAAAGTGAGTTTAGGTGAAGCCTACAACAGATGGACCCAAATAAAGAAATTTCACGTATCGGCAGCGAACCTGGTATCCTGACGGCTGGAAACCTTGTTGCAACTACAACCTCCACACAGTAGATGTCGCTTTGGTGTTTGTGTTCCGTGTTCAACCTTTAATGGAGCTAAAGATGGATTCCAAAGGGTTCAAATGATGGCAACTGGACTTCTTTGGTTTCTTGAAGACATTTCACTTCTCATCTGAGGAGTTTTGTCAATTCTGACTGGAATATGCGAGAGTCGAGCTTATAAACTGTAGCTGTCTGTTGTTGCTTAACAGGCAGAAACTACCTATGAATACCCCTCCTCTCAACCCCCGGTGGTTGTTAATGCTATTAGGTCTTATTGTGTTAGAATGGTTGTTTTGATTAGATTCAGGCGTGCGTGACCTAGACTGAAACTGTTTTGGAATTAGGTTTTGAGCTGCATTATAGGTGCTGGAAAGGTGAACCCTGAGGCCTCCTCCTCTTATATATGTAAATTTATAGTCTGACCACGATACGTAGACAGAACCCAGTCATGGGGCAGAATCTACAGCTGTCTATCAGACTGTTTGTGCATGCAGTTAGACAACGCTTGGACTAATCGCTAGGACCATCACTACGGGGATCAGTCAATGGGGCAGTCCGCTATACACCGTTAAGGAAAAAGCAAATACATTATTTTCTAAAGGACTTATGTATCTCTATCTGTTAATGTCTCATAGAAAAGCCCAAGTCTAAACTGATTAGAGTTGATGCCAAAGCCATTTCAAACAAGCCCCATCTTTTCAGTTTTTATCCAACGCAGCTCTGGTGCAAAAGCCCACTCAACATCTCTCTACAAACAAGGAGCACAAAATTGTTTTGTCCAGTGTAGATCTGCTGAGTGTGGCCGGCCCAACCTGCAGAGCTGAAACTTTTGGTACTGCTAGGTATTTCCAGGCTAGGTAAATAATGCAGCAGTTCGAATAGTGGCCACAAATATAACAAATATGGAGCAAACATTACCAGTTCATAGAGATTTGAGCAACCATAAAAACATCTGACAGCATATTAAATGCCCTCTCCTCTGTGGTGCTAAAAGAAGAACGGTACTAATGTGCTGCTTCTCACTGTTTTTATATTTCAGATTCTTTTTAGTAAATATAGATAAAAGCTAAATCACATACTTTATTAGGTCTGTTTGCCGTTTTTGATTACCTCTTTTATGTGAACTAATTAATATCCTCCAGTCTTTTAAACTACCCCTTATAAATCATTCTATTAACATGACATCAGGCCGGAATTACACAGGAAAATGCTCCATATTATCCAGAACACAATGCCAAGCGCTCTTCGGTTCTAGGGACCTTGTTCTTATTCGTCAAAGGTTGTCACAATATAAATAAACCAATAATACGTGATAAAATAGTCTTGAAACCAGTACATGCATTTGTAGAAATTCATGATTCTTTTATTTTTCTTCGACTGGGCTTGAGCACAGCTGGAGAGCACATCACACAGTTTGTGCTTAGAGAGACTGTTTACAGAGCAGTGTATCAGGACAGTGTCGTGCGAATGCTCACATGATTATTATAGTTATTGTTTTTATGGTGTGAAGCCATTTTTAGTCTTGCTCTAACATAATTTGCATCTTGTTGAGTTTGTGTAAAACAGCCTTTGGGCGGTGTGGTGAAAACGCCTCCTTTTCTTTTTAATAGGAACTTTTAACGAGTTGGTTTTTGGTGATCTGGCTGTCATCACCCTTCCAAAAGAAAAAACCAAAAAGTAGATCCAACCCTGGTAAAATTGGCCAGTGTTGACAGTAGCTTCCTGCCAATAGAAAACAGAATTTCAGTAGATACAGCTGCACTTTTTAGGGTGTAGTTACGGCTTTTGAAGTAAAAAAGTGAACAGTAGAAGCAGGTGAGAGCGCAGAGTTTAAGTACAATGCAAAATGAAAAAGGTCTATCGGACATGTTGTGTGCTGCGGAGAGAGTCACGAGAGTGTGGTGGCAGAATCAAACTGACTGCCTTGGCTCACGGTCACATTTTTCTTTAGCAGCATTCTTACCCTTTCAATGAATGTGATGAGCGTGTTCCTTACACATGTTGTCTTAGAAAGACAAATATAGCCTTCTCTTTAAAAAAATACATTTTTTCACTATAGTTGTGTTTGCGCTGATATTACTGATGTTTTCGATAAAGTCCTGCCTCCGTTTGATATACAGCAACTGGCAGATTTCTCCACAGTTTCTTCTATAAGATTGGAACTCGAAACGGGAAACTGTCAATAATGCGGGACATGAGTCTCAATTCGCGAGACACGTGAAAAGTAATGAAAATGCGGGACGGTCCCGCACAAAGCAGGTCATCTGGTCACCCTGAAAAAGAGTCAGTGGAATAGTAACACTGCTGTCGACCAATCAGAGACAAGATGTCCACATATCATGATATTAATGAGTAAGACTCAAAATTCTGCCATTTTCTACTTCCTACTCCTTTGACTAACTTCTACTTCCTGAAACAGGAGCACCGGAGCTTTTTTTTCCACATAAAATGGCTCACAAGGCATTCATTTGTACTAGAGACCACTGCAAATGGATTGAAATAATAGGTGTATGCCCATTTAAGTGGTCAGGCTAAAACTAGAGGTGTCAAATCAAGATATACGCAGACTTACTTACCTGCCTTTGTTCAGGACACGCTTTTAGGAGTAGTAACGTGTAGAAATGTATTTTACAGTTGGAGTAATGGCAATAAACCAGCATAATGTGTTCAGGTTTATTTTCACCTGTTTGTAAAGACAAGCATAAAGCAGTCAGACATGCTCTTCATTCAGAGCAACACTGATGAAACGCTACCTCAAAGTGTCATTTTAGAGTTTTCTCCTATTGCCCGAATACCTCAAATAATACTAAACGTTATTAATAAAATAATAGTTGGACACTCTAGAGCACATACAGGTGCTGGCCAGTAAATTAGAATATCATCAAAAGGTTGAAAATATTTCAGTAATTCCATTCAAAACGTGAAACTTGTACATTATATTCATGCAATGCACACAGACCAATGTATTTCCAATGTTCATTACATTTAAATTTGATATTCATAAGTGACAACTAATGAAAACTCCAAATTTGGTATCTCAAAAAATTAGAATATTCTGAAAAGGCTGAATATAGAAGACACCTGCTGCCACTCTAATCAGCTGATTTACTCAAAACACCTGCAAAGGCCTTTAAAAGGTCCCTCAGTCTTGTTTTGAAGGCACCACAATCATGGGGAAGACTTCTGACTTAACAGCTGTCCAAAAGACAATCATTGACACCTTGCACAAGGAGGGCAAGACACAAAAGGTGATTGCTAAAGAAGCTGGCTGTTCGCAGAGCTCTGTGTCCAAGCACATTAACAGACAGGCGAAGGGACGGAAAAGATGTGGTAGAAAAAAGTGTACAAGCTCTAGGGATAACCGCACCCTGCAGAGAATTGTGACGACAAACCCATTCAAAAATGTGGGGGAGATCCACAAAGAGTGGACTGCAGCTGGAGTCAGCGCTTCAAGAACCACCACGAGGAGACTCATGAAAGACATGGGATTCAGGTGTCGCATTCCGTGTGTCAAGCCACTCTTGAACAAGAAACAGCGCAAGAAGCGTCTCGCCTGGGCCAAGGACAAAAAGGACTGGACTGATGCTGAGTGGTCCAAAGTTATGTTTTCTGATGAAAGCAAGTTCTGCATTTCCTTTGGAAATCAAGGACCCAGAGTCTGGAGGAAGAGCGGAGAAGCACAGAATCCACGTTGCATGAGGTCCAGTGTAAAGTTTCCACCGTCAGTGATGGTGTGGGGTGCCATGTCATCTGCCGGTGTTGGCCCACTCTGTTTCCTGAGGTCCAGGGTCAATGCAGCCGTCTACCAGGAAGTTTTAGAGCACTTCATGCTTCCTGCTGCTGACCAACTTTATGGGGATGCAGACTTCACCTTTCAACAGGACTTGGCACCTGCACACAGTGCCAAAACCACCAGCACCTGGTTCAAGGACCATGGTATCCCTGTCCTTGATTGGCCAGCAAACTCGCCTGACCTTAACCCCATAGAAAATCTATGGGGTATTGTGAAGCGGAGGATGCAATACGCTAGACCCAACAATGCAGAGGAGCTGAAGACGACTATCAGAGCAACCTGGGCTCTCATAATACCTGAGCAGTGCCACAGACTGATCGAGTCCATGCCACGCCGCATTACTGCAGTTATTGAGGCAAAAGGAGCCCCGACTAAGTATTGAGTGCTATACATGCACATTCTTTTCATGTTCATTCTTTTCAGTTGGCCAACATTAGAGAAAC